CACACACACACACACACACACACACGATGTGCAAAACTCTTCATTTGGACAGTCAATAGCAAATACTTAAACTAATAACAAAACAGTAGCTAAGCCTAATTTAAATTAGGTATGTTTTTTAACAAAACAGTAGCTGATTCAGAAGCGCCGGATTGTCATAGCAAAGTCAGAATTACTTCCTCTCCTAGGTTCACGAAACGGTCATCTATAAAATGCATTGCTGTTCTGTTGTAAGTGATCTTAAAGATTCCTAAATGCATCTACTTTCGGAAGGCCAAATAAAGTGCTTTTGCTTTCGCCTAGAAACACACAGCGTCTCCCTGACATGCTGCTTCAACACTAACTGCGGTTACTGAAACCACGCGTTCTTTCTTTGCATGCACATTTGGGCGCATTATGCAAATATTTCCACATAATGAGGTACATATGTGGGGGCGTGTTAGAACGAGCCGTTTTAGGGGGGCGTGGCAGAGTCTTAACTTTGATAAAGAATATCTCTTTGGTTTTGAGACTTTAGTCTTTGCAACTTCAGGGATCTTATCTATGCACAATCAGCTTGTAACACTCCAAAGAGAAAGGAAAACTTGAAATCGCATCATATGACCCCTTTGAAGCATTTAATTAATCAAATGTGACAGTAAAGACATTTATAATGTTACAAGGATTTCTATTTTACATAAATGCTATTCTTTTGAAATTTATATTCAAATTCCTGAAAAAAATCATCACAGTTTCTACAAAAATATTAAGCAACATGACTTAAGCATTGTTTTCAGCATTGATAAGAAGCATCAAATCAGCATATTAAAATGATTTGAAGGATTGTGAGTGTGACACTGAAAACTGGAATAAATTTAGCTTTTCATCACAGGAATAAATTACATTTTAAAATAGATTAACCCCCTGGGGTCGAAGTCCACACCAGTGCAGTGTGTCTCATATTTTCTTTATGACCGCAAATAAAGACAATAAGCAGGGTGCGTTCTCCGTCGTCTCGGTCTCCGTCACCTCTCTTTTCACAGACATGTAAATAAAACAACCTGAATCTCAGAGAATACTTGCCTCAAAGATATGAGAATATGTATAGAAAGCAAATGTCTACTTTTAAATGAAGTAAGTCACGCCCAAAACAAATATTCTGTGATAAAGTAATCCGTATGAAACCAACACGATGTCCAGTTTTTCTCGTCTCAACTCATTATCTCCAATGCAGTCATGCCCACGAGCCAATCGCGCTTTTCAGATTCTAAACATTCACGTGAGACGCAAGCGCATGTAAACGCCCACATCGCCTCCACGTAAACAAACAAGTACATCCCGGCAACTTTTTGTTTCTGGAAGAAGACGCGCTGAGAGGAATAACCCAGCATTTACCTCAGAAAAAGAACAACGCAATGCTTCGAGCAGCTAGATCCAGAGGAGAATATCATTCTGATGAGTAGCCTAAGATTACTTGCATATGTTGTTATTGGGCCATAACTTGTACACATTTTACTAGTTAGACTTTTCCCAAACTATAATTCCTGACTACAGGAATGAAATCAAGTGAAACATTTTGAAATGTGTCATTTCATTGTCTAAATGTCTCACAACGCCAGGATGTTTGTTTAATGTTTTATAACATATAAAACCACAGGATATAAAAGTAGTATGAGTGTTAACACTATGTTTTTTTATATTTAACCATTGAGTATAGCCATTTAGCATTACAGTATAATTGAGAGCTATCAATTTTAGGGCTGGGTATCGTTCAAAATTTTTCGATACCGATATCTTGACTTCAATACCGGTTCAGCTTGTTGATGTTTTTCGATACCAATTTTATCAAATCCTGAGCCACTGCACAAAGGAACAAAATGTAACCAACACAATAAATCAGTGCAAAATAGTTTTAATAAAGCTCAAATAGTCTTCAGTTTACACATCTGTTAGGCTACATTTACACTAGTTAGTGTTCGTTTTAAAAGGCATAGCTCAGACAGAATCATGATTTCTACAATTCTTTTTTAATTAAATTTTTTTTAATGATTAAACATTTTTTAAAATCTTTTTTTTTTCCGATTGGCAGCACTAGATAAAAGCCAATGGCAAAGCAGTCATGATAAATGTAAAACTTAAAAAAAATGCTGCCTAGTAATCATTTTAGGCTTCCAGCATTTCTC